GGGGATAGGTTTCAAACAAATTTAAGTTATAAACACTAAAAGTATAAAGATCTTTCTTACAAGATCAGTGAACCGAAACTCGTAATTTTACCTTTTTTTACCAGTATATCAATTATTAATGTTTATCAAGAATTTACTTAAAATTTTATGATAAGTGATATGATTGTACACTCTTCCGAAAATATAGTAGGAAACCTGAGAGCTGACAGGGGTTTTATTTCATGAATTTCTCTTTCTTTCGTCATCTTGAGAGGTTTTGACTTATATGTGTATTCTATTAGCCTTCTAATTAAATCGTGATTAATTTTGTAATACCATCAAGTACTAAACCTACTATAGGTCATTATGGCCGAGAGACATCTACGGAGCAAAAAAAACACAAATAGACAATATTTAAGAAAAAAAATTCAAAAACCTAATAGCAGAAGGTATTTTACATGACACGACAGCTAAATAAATATATTCCTTGGCAGAAAGCTATAAGCATCAATCAATAATCACGTTTAACAAAAAATTCAAAGCATTAAGTTCCTAAAAAAACGTCCAAAGCGATTCAGTTTCCTAAGAATACGCAATACTCCTAAAAATAAGAACATATAAATGGAAATGTATTAGGAAGATAATTTTAATCCAAAAATAACTTCTTCATGTAGGCATAGTATCCCATTCTTTGAGCGAGAATCTTCTGTCACAAAAAGAATTCAATTCAATAAAAAGGTTATTTAATATTATTTATATAATATTAAATTTTAAAATTTATTTTATTGTACATTTATACATAAGGAATAATAATGGTATATATAAGCATATAAATATAAATTTTTGTTACTGTTTGTACATAAAATAGATATTGAATAATAAATAATATTTTCCTCACATATACAAAGTATAGATTTTATATAACAAATATACATAAAATATATACAAATTTCATTAAATATACATAAATTATATATTAGATACATAATACATACATCGAATATGTATAAAATTATACATTTTTTAATAATTATGCGTCAAATATATACTACATACATTAAATATATGCAAGTATTATGTATTTCTATTTGAGAGAATAATAAAAATGTGATTTTAAGAGCAACTATTAATTAGAAGGAAAATGTCATAGAAAACGTAAGCTTGGAAAGCTCTGATTAATGATGAGAGAAAATTATGAATAGATTAATATGGCTCAAAACCAATCCCTTAAACTGTGGGTTTGTGTTGAACGGTTTATGTTTAAGAAATTAAAGGCCATTAAATAAGGTGAAGAATCTTTAAAAATGTTATAACTGTATATGAATATGCTATTTTTGTAATAAAGCAAAAGTACTATAGTTGTATAAATGGTTTTTAATAACAGTTCTACCGTGTAAAAATCTCAAATATTTAAGCCTTAGATTGTTTCTTTTATATTGTTATTCATCCTTTATTTACTTCCAAGTCACGAATTTATTACCATTATGATGCAAAAGTACAATTCGAAGGAGGGTATTGCCTGGCTTTCTTTTACCTTGCCATTAGCAAATTATCACATATTTGCCATTGCCGTTGACGGAGCTCCAACATGAAGCGGGAGGGCTTTACGTGTCCAAATTATTTGAGAAAAAAAATGTCTAAATTTACCCTCAACTTTATTACTACGGTCTTTAAAATTACTCTAAAGTTGGAACTCAAGACAAAATTGAAACGTTTTCCTAACGATGGAAGTAACATAAGTAATAGAGCGCAAAGTTGCTCAATTACTGATATTGCAGGGGAAAAGTTGACTACTTTCTCTATTGAAAATGTGAGTTTCGATAGTCATATAGGCCTCTGGCAACAATATTTTGAATTTGCTTTATTACTCTCATGGAATTATGGCCTAATCTGCACCACTCATATGGCAAACGNTCACTCTTCCCAATACTTGGTACCATTAGGCAAAGACAGAAGGCAACTTGACTGCAAGATCCACCCGTCGAAAGAAGACAAGTCGGCCAAATATTACAAAGTCTCGATATTTATCACCGATCAAGAAGGAAACCCAAAAGGACCTCGAATATTTGGTACACTAAAGAATTGAGAGAATTAAATTTTACTAACATAGTTTCACGACAGCCATATTGATACTTGTAGTGATACACCTAATCCCCAATTAATATCGTGCAGTATCTTTTTTTTTGCTAAGGAAAGGAGTAATTTATATTTAAAAAAACTAAGAGGTCTGGTTATTACATAACATAGGGGTATATATACCGCATACGATTGTCCCCAATCTGTCTTTATTGAAAGCATGTAAAACGAAGGCCAGAGGAGTTTCCCAGTATGTTATGATGTCTTCTTACATCGTTAGTTGATTGCCTGGTACGTCCATACTTTGCTAGAGCGTCAGCCACAAAGTTGTCTTCCCTACAAATATGGTTTATAGTCTCCGATCCAAGAGCATCAAGAAGAAAACTACAATCATCAAGAAGATGTGAGAATCAAGTTTGTTCAATCTTAAATAAATTATATAATACCTGCGAATTTGTTTCCACTATAATTGGAAAGAGATTTTTTGTGAAGGATAATTCCAATCCAGTAAGTAGTGCAAGCAGCTCGGCGTGTATTGCAGAATTTGCAGTCGCTTTCTGCGCAAAGCCCATAACCCATGAGCCACTGTGATCTCTAATTATTCCCCAGCACCACTGGTTTGGTGGGTCGGATCGTAAGCACCATCGACGTTTAGCTTGTATTGGCTAGTAGGTGGTGGGAACCACCTTACTGGGACTTGCAGCCATGGTTTTGGAGATGTTATAGTCTGAGTGAGTGAGAGGTATTCTGCTACTTGAATCGTGATTTTTTTGCTGCACGTAGGGGATGAGGTCTGGTTAAAGAGATTTGAACTCCTATTAATCCAAATGCTCCAGAGGATGAACGGCATTATAGTAGAGTATGGTGCTTTGAAGGAGGCATTTGGCGTTTGGATGGAAGCGTTTTTGGTGGACTTATCCTTTATCCAGTTGGCAAGGTTGTGTGGTTGGGGTATGCATAAGTTGAATAAAGGCCATAAGTGGCAGGAGTGCTTGCATACAAATAAGATGTGGTTTATGTCTTCTACACTATTTAGGCAGAATTGATAGAAGTTGATTGAAGAATTTTCTTCTGGTACAGGAAGTCTCTAGTAGGGAGCTTGTGGTGCACAAATAACCACAAGAAGAATTTGTGTTTGTTCAAGCAGTTGAAGTGCCAAAGCCAAGAGTAATTAACATGTGTGGGTTATGGCAGTTGGTTGGTGATCTGGAGTTGGAGCATATATGTTGATTTAGTAGTAAAATTACCAAGGGATGTTTGGTTCCAAAAAGATTGGTCGGGTTTGTTGGTGGAGAATGGAATAATAGTGTGGTTGATTAATTGTATAGTAGTAGGATATAAGGATAAGGATAATCTTCCCATAGTCCACGAATGGTTTGAGATAATTGATGATACTGTTAGTTGTTCCTCCATGTGTTGTAAGGGGACCTGGATCGTGTGGCGCATACAGCTATTGTTTGGGAGCCAGTTTTCGTTCCAGAGGTTGATAGTTGATCCATCCTCTATGTTCCAAGAGAGCCATGTTTGGAAGAGGCCAGTGGCTTTGGTCATGCTTTTCCGTATGTATGAATCAGTTGGCTTGGCCTGGTATATTTCTCAATGTCTATGCTGAACATATTTTGCTTGAAGTATTTTGGCCCATAAGAAGTTTGCACTCATATGGGAGTTTTTAGCTAAAATTGTCCCTTATTTTTTAGGGTAAGTCTAACTTTGTCCTTTATCTATTGCCCTGAGCACTTATTGTCCTTTAAGTTTGCTAAACTTGAGCAGGTTTAGTCCATTTAATAAAAGACCCAAAGGGAGACCTAAAAACTACCAGTGATTTCACTTTCACTGAGTCAACTGGGTAAAGAAACTTTCGGTACTCAAATTTTGCAGAACCGATGTAGTGAACCTAAACCTTTTTAACGGGCCGGGTTGACCCGGTTCCGGACCGGCCCGGACTGATGGAAGGGGGTTGGGTAGGGATGGGTTTGGGGGGTTGGTCCGTATATATTTTTTTACCAGTTAACCTGACCGGTCAAACCCGGTCAATGAAAATTACTGTTGAACCGACCGGTTGAAAAAAATAGTGACCGATCGATCACCAATCCTGGCCGGTTATCGAGTTTTTAAAACCGGGCTTAACGGGTCCGGGCACATCCGGTGAAAAATTGAACCGAAACGATTTTGGGCCTAATGGGTCGGGCCAGGTTCCGGACCTAAGGGCCCGGCCCGGCCCACCCCTTTGTCACCTTTAAGATTGTAGAAACAAGTGTGGTAATTTTAAAAAAAAATTAAAAAAATAGTCGTTGAACCGAGTCGGTCCGGTTAACCGATTCAACAGTAATTTTCATTGACCTGGTTTGACCGGTCTGGTTAACTGGTAAAAAAATATATACGGACCAACCCCCTAATCCCCCAAACCCAACCCTACCCGGCCCCCTTCCTCCGGTCCGGGCCGGTCCAGTTTACTACCGGTCTAGGCCGGTCCGGAATCGGGTCAACCCGGCCCGTTAAACAGGTTTAGGTTCACTACATCGGTTCGCAAAATTTGAGTACTAAAAGTTTCTTTACCCAGTTAACTCAGTGGAATGACTGGTAGTTTTTATACTCAAGTTTAGCAAACTTAAAGGACAATAAGTGCTCAGGGCAATAGATAAAGGATAAAGTTAAACTTAACCCCAAAGATAAGGAACAATTTTGGCTAAAAACTCCTCATATGGAAATGCCAAAGTAACAGCATAGCATAATTTTTATCAAACAGTTTTATATAGTCCCAAGTCCCCCTAGTAATTTGGGAGTGATTCCGTCTCCCGACTGGTAAGGTGGGGTTGATCCCCACAGAAAATTTCTTTGGAGGTGACAAAATTCTAGGTTGTACGTACCACCAGCTAATAATCGATGCAGACTAAATTATAAAAAAATGTACCCAACATAATGAATGTCATTAAATGAGAAAAGCAGTATAGCATTGCCAAAAGATGCTAGAACGTCGCAGAAAACAATGTAACACAATGAAATGTTGGGCTATGAAACAAAGAAAGCTATAAACTCTCCCACAACCAGGACCTCAAAGTGCTCTGTGATTCTCTTTTATGCAAAACTTTGTGCACAGCTCTCTAAGCGCGAACCCCTCTGTTAAGATTAACCATGCGACCTGATCCATCCGTTTGACTTCCCCTCGCACCTCCACCACTCTGATATCTTGAGCCTTGACCACCGAAAGTCCCCCGCGCCTGATTAGTACGGTCCCTCGATGCTTGCCCAGAAGCTGATCTACCACCTACATATCCTGTTCGGCCACCACCGCCACCACCTTGTCTGCCTTGTGAGAAGGAGAAATCCTGCCACTTACCAGCACCAGCAGCTGCAGCAGCATAATCTTGGCCGTCCCTGCGCCTCAGGGGAATGCCCTCCAATCCACCACCACCTATCCTTGATTCTGTTGCTCTTTCATTACTTTCTGCTAATACTGACAGCTTTTCCGTCAACTGGAATGCCAAAGCCTGCAATCTTGTCTGCTCAACATCGTGAAAGACCATGCATCGGGATGGTTGATCCCAGCTTGCATGAAGCTCCTCAGAAATCATCATTTTGCTCACGATGCTATGGATCTGTGAATCTGAAAGGTCAAACATCCCTGCAAGCTGATCCAAACTCAAAGAATTATAAGAAGAAGAATATGTGAAAAGATAGGTTCTCAGTGCCTCTTCCTTTATTTTGTCTCTAAGCATCTCAAGAACACTATCCTTGTTGCGTAGCAGCCTCCACACGTCAAGGGAGTTGATAACATCAAAAGCCTTTTCAAAGTTTCCTTGCTTGAGGGCCCTTGTCGCTGCCATTACATGGTCCCTCACATTTTCAGGTGGGCCGGTGAAAGTTTGCCTCTCACTCACTTCAAGCAATCTCCGGAATGTCTTGCTAATAACCCTGCGCTTCATGTCATGGCTATTAGCTGCCATGTTTGGCACTTCAAGAAGCATTGCACATGTCAGATGGACGGCCTCAAGAAGCTCAAGATTTATATGCATATGATACGGCATCTGACGCCTCCTCTCCATCCGCTCCTAAAAGTGTCCAAAACATGCATAGTTTAGAAGCTTTGGTAAGAATCATAATGAAGAAATTTCACAAAAAAAACTACTCAGATAAATGAGTCAGTTGAAGGTGCAATCCGATATAAAATATATGATATTTCAGTTACTATGAATTTGTTCTGACGAATTTGGCTAAAACTGATGGAATTAATTTAAAGTTCTGCAACGTTCTTTTGATTTTACTATTCCTGGTTTACTCCCAAGCATCCTTCCAAAGAACAAGTTTTGCTAGTTCCGTTTTCGAGACATTATGTCAACAGTTAATGTCCAAAATCTTTTAAAACAACAAAAACCTCTAAACTCCCACATGTGTGAGGAATGGTTCCCAACAGGTTCCTTCTACCACACGTGAAGAAAGAAAAATAAATAACAAATGATTTAATTCTAAGTTATTCAAGTATAAGTTTTAGTTCCTTTATTTACCCAACTCTCTGTTCAGGTCCACCACCTTCACCTTACACATTTCCTCACTTCATCAAATTCTCTTCTAAAACTTTTCTTCTTATTTTGTCTTCTCTCCAAATTTCACTTTTGTCAGCATTCAACCACAAAAATGGTTCAAGCAAAGTGTAACCATATATTCTTCAAGTTCATGTCTTTAGCACTATACACCCAATTTGTGCCCTGATATGCTTCCAATTCTTTTTCTAATTTCCCATAATTTCCTTTGCCTCATAGCAATTTCCTCTTTCAGCCATCACAAAAATACAATTCCGAAGATAATATCACAAATTTCACCTATCTGTCTCTATTAGGACTTTCACTCTGCATTATTATACTGTCAAATCCTAATTGCCACACCTATCAACTCTTGGCTCTTTTCTCATTTTCAGTTAAATGGTTGGCAAGAATTACGACTTCTCACTCGCAGTAGTGGAAATGGCATGGATTATGCTAAGGATTGACTACTGAGGAATCCTTTGGCTTCTTTTTGGCGTCTTCTCTTATGAAAACCATGAGGAAACGCCACAGATTTAAGTAGAAAAAGTTACAGAGTATTGCTCTTTTACGGGATTCTAAAACTACAAGTTTAGATACCCACGTAACTCAATAAGTAAACCAACAAATAAACTGATCTTTCTTTTCGAGTTTAAACTAGAACCCACTTTCTTGTTGAACTGCGCCACACAAACACTCTGAAACAGATACTAACTACTACAATTATGAAGTACAATAAAGCAGCTAATCTCAAAACATAACAAAGGAGGAACATAAGGGCACATAATAAGAACAAATTTCTTACATAAAAGAAAAAGAATGAAAATTTTCAGCAAAGAAACCTGTTCTGGGGTCTTCTCATGATATCGACTTTGGGAGACACCTTGCGCGAGTAACTCCTTCACCCGGCCGGCAGAATAGAGTTCAGCCAAGCAGCCATGCGCTTCTGCAACAAGTGCCGCCCTGAATGCACAGAGACCGAGCTGAGCCATGGCTCTGTTGAAAAGTATCTGAGTTGAAATGTCCATGTGCTGGATATTATCTTGCAAGTGACTCATCAATAACAAGTCACGGGATACTGAAAACTCATCCAAGATAGCATGGTGGTATATATCACAGAGCATTGCACGGGCCTTGGTTCGTTCATCCCCATATTTGTATATGAGAGAAACGAGACTGTCCATCACTGTCCTGCTGTTCTCTTCAAAAGCAGGTTTCCTGGGCACAAGCTCTGGAGTTGCAACAAATGC